TTGGGCCACTGTCCCTGCCTTCCAGATAGCACAAACTTAATCACTTTGTAGATAGTTATAAGTATGTATCAGTCTAATAGTATATAGAGTGGCTAATATTATCATTCAAGATCTGAGTCTGGTTTCAATCATGGTATTTGTGCATTGGGAGACCTGCTATCATTACTATACAGATACATACCAAATCTATGGGTGCTATATTGACTGCACCTATGAGCTATGTATCACTATGTAGCTAGTACTTTGAACTATATTACCTATAATTACTATATAGCACTATATAGCAACTGTCCTACTTCTACATAGCAACCATAGCACTATATAGCAACTGGGCAACTTCTATATAGCATCCATAGCACTCCAATAGTGTCCATAGTTCTGAGGGGCAGCTATATAGATAAAGATTTTTTCAGATGTTTGAGATCCTTCAGGTCTCATCAAAGACTTTGACCTCACAATGGACACTTGATACTGCTGTTCGCGAGGCACAATGTTCTGCATAGATCATGACCAACTTGTTCGAGAAGTCCATCTGCAAGATGGACTATCAGTCTGTAATCAGGTGAACCGTTGCTTGAAGAAATCACCTTGGCAAACTCATGCAGCCGGTTTCGGTCGTCTTGCGAAAGGCTTAACATATCAGCAATTCCATCCACCCTGCTGGTGTCAATACTGCGACTATCTTATGTATTGGACACAATATCGGCTTGAGTCATGGTGGGGGAAGAGGAAAAGTTGTATTCTTGCAAGTGATGATATGCCGGTCTTGCATAGGGTATGTGACCGTGGTTTGATTGGCAACTTGTCCTGTGAACAAATGAAGGTGTCATTGAGAGCTCTTGGGACAGACTCATGTCCTGAGACATCCTGCAGTGAGCAGAGACTTGCGATGCACAGGTCTGGAGGCTGCTGAGGACAGCTGAGGACCCGACGTGGCATAAAAATTGAGCGTGACCTCAGGGCAGGCGTTGTCACTGCTGTTGATGTCACAAGCCACAACCACGGAAGCAAATGAAGAAGGAAAGGCAAGAAAGAGCACACACAGAGGACGGATCAGTGGATCCCTTGTAGAGTAGTCGAATACTGATGCACCCAAGACGAGAGTTGAGTAGGACAGTATTACATTTCATGATATTGTAATGCAGCAAAGAGTAATGACAGCATATTCAGCATGACAGAGCTCAGAGAGCCATTTGACATTAATAAAACCAGCAAAGAATGGGGAAGTCCAGAGGGCAAAACCCAGAGGTGAATGGGGTGAGAGCGAAGGAGTTCACAGGCGCCTGACAAACATGTGTCTCTCAGAGTCCAGACTCCGTCCACCATCTGCGACAAAGACAAGTTTACTTCTGCATGCCCTCTGAACCTGGTGTATATCCTGAACGACAACATTTTGTTAGGCAAGGTGTTCATGGTAGGGAGTCTAGAAACACATCTGCTTGCGTGGATGGTCTATACAAGTGAGTCGCCCTCAGAGGTTGTCGTCGTGGTGTCAATAGCATTTTGCTCTGAGCTATCCAGCCCAGCAGTGGTACCAGAGTAGATTGCGGCTGCCACGGGGTCACTGGCAGGTACTGAGTGTGAGCTGGAGTCGTGTTGTACTGCAGGAATTGTGGCGGCAGGACTGGACTTTCTGGACATGGCAGCGATACTGATAACGGCCTTTGAAGCTCATCAGGCATTGTCACGAGCAATGCCAGCAGCCATGGCGACATCCCTGGGTATGACCAAACCAGTTGCGTCGTCACAATCCTGGTCCTTTGCAGCATCAAGATGGATGGCAGTACCAGAGTTGTCAATGGCTGCTGCCGTGGGGTCATTGGCTATTGTTGAAGCTCAGCTGTCTGTGGATTTTCATCCCGGACAGGTGTTGTTGCGAGCAGCACCAGCAGCCATGGCGGCATCTCTGGGTATGACCGAACCAGTTGCGGCGTCACAATCTCGTTCGTTTGCGGCATCCAGGCAAACAGCGGTACCGGAGTCAATGGCTGCTGCCATGGGGTCGCTGGCTGTGACTAGGTATGACCGGCAGGATTCACGGATGCGACAGATGGCCTGCAACATTGGTGAGATGGAGTTGCTCTGTCGAGTGTACACCCAGCTGCAATTGGAGTTTGTGGTGCAACCAGACTCTCCGTTTGACACAACAAAGCCCTTGACGAGACCGCTGTGCTTGATGTGGTGGGATTTTTCCGATGCCAACACAAAACCATCTCATCCAGCGTGGTGACGTCTAATTCTTTCCTGTGCTCAATCACTCGGGACAGCAGCTCTGCCTTGTCCTCCAGGCAGTGTCAAGGTGGATGTTGCAGATGCAGCATGAATCTGCCACTGCGCAGCTGAGCCATATTAAGCAGTCGATGTTCCTGGTTGCCAGAATGTGCAACCTCGAGCTTGCGGAACGTGGTCTCTCTTCTCTCTTGCACAATGACTTTGGTTTGCAATGTCTGGCACTGAAACTCTGCGCAGTTATGAAATGTGTTTACGGCACAGAGTATCTGCTATCAATGACTGTGAGTGTATGTTGCATGTGAGGCAGACTGGAGCTAACCTCGAAAAACAGGAATTCAAAGGCCTGTTCTATCAGTATGATTGTTGGCATGCGGTAGACTGATGACATGCCACCAAGCTCATATCTATGTACCAGCACGCCCAGTACCTGGAAACGTTCGGAATCGACCAGTATATCGGCCACCTTTACAACACAAGGCAGCACGGATTCTTCAGGTGCTTGGTAGAGCATGTACCTGCCCAGCTGCACAACATCCTTATTGTTAAGCTGCAGGGTCTTGCAGCAAAGGACCGATATTGCCAATGATTCGAGACTGCCAAGACCATGCCTTGTTGTTGCCATCTTGCTTGAAGGAAATGAGATTTCACCAGTCAGTAGCATCCAGCATCCTGGGTACATTATTTATGTTAGCCTTTCACTGCCTCATTGAAGATGAACGAGTAACTCACGAGCCATCGCAGATTGGTTGAGGGCACCATCCATTGCCATCATTTGCCAGAACTCGGGATCCTGGAGCAGCAACTACGGTTGCCCAACAGGGTCAGGTCAAAATTCATGTCATGACACAGCCTTGGAGCTCCGGACTGGTCCATGCATAACTCAGATTGAACTTCTGACACAATTTTGACGGATGTGCATTTATTTTCATGCCCTTTCTTCATGGAAAAAAACTACAATTACCTAACAATTACCTACACTAGTGAGGGACCCCTCCCAGACTCACGTCAGGTCTCCTTTCATCTACAAGAAATGTACAGTTCTTTCAGCCACCAAGCAAGCTGCTGAGCTTGTGCGCACCCACATCGCCCCACAATACATATACCATGTCAGGCCTTGTTTGTGAAATTCAGGAGCAAATAGATGTACAATTGTATATCTTGAGATTAGAGACCTCTAACATTTGTATCCATACACAGAAAGTTCTGACCGACGTGCCCATCTTTTCCTTGAAAATTACCTTCCGGTTTCTACTCAGATCACTTTCTACTACACACACACAACTATCTATCATGCCTCTTCGCTACCCATGCTGCTCTATGTGCTCCAAGTACTTTCCCTTAGGCTAGCTTGAGGACGGAAAATGCCAAAAGTGCGCCAAATTCTCACAGTTGACATCTACACCGGAGATAAATGCAATTGAGGTAAGTCTTCCGTACCCTCCTGGCTAGGCTTTTCTGACCATAAGGTTTAATCAGGCGTGGAAACAGTGCAAGCAATGTGGATGTGCATACCCACATTTGCAAAACACTGTGTGTAGACCATGCGCAAAGATGCTGGAGGAAAATGGTAGGCATAAGTACCTTAGCGATTGCACACCTCTGATATAGGCTAACATAGACAATGTAGGATACACTGAGAATGACACTATGGATGCTGCTACATCTGCTGCGAGTAGGGCTCAAGTGTACCAACATCAAGCTTTCGAGCACCGCCTCAATTGGCCTCAGAACCCCAGTATCAAGAATGCAATGGAGATCAATATCCGAAGGGCTCAACAGTCTCAGCTCAGAAAGGAGGCTTCTATTGTCATACTTGTCAAGGACTTCCGTGTTTTTCGGGACTTGGATAAGAATAAGTCCACCCGGGTGAGTGTCCATGTTGATAGCTTGGCTTCTCAATAGCTTACTGTACCAATAGGTCCCTTTTCCAAATTTCCGCAAAGCATTCAGCCTATCAGAACAGGTCTCAACTATATCCGCCACTGTCCTCACCCATTTCCGGGCCGGCTTCGCAGATTACCAGGAGTTATGACAGGGAAAGTCTGATCTGAACCCTATTTGGAATCTCAAGTGCGCCATACCTACCCTCTCTTGAAATTAAACATCCTAAAACCAGTGTCACGGTTAAGTTAGACATACAATGTGGAACACAATAGCTGGAGATACCCTTTGCCCTCACCATTCCCACTGCCAATCTACTCTCAATGTCCTCTGGCAAAAACTCAAGGTTGACTCTTCTATCACTGCTGCAAACTTAAAAGACAATCTCTTGCAGCTGACATTGATTGTATACCAAAAGGCGAGCATTCTCATGTCAACCAATGTGTAGCTTCTCACCTTGCAAGCAGGAAGAGAACCCGTCAGAGGATGATGATGACGGAGTGGTTCTTATTTTGCATACCAAGCCATCCAGACCTACAAGGTCGTGGAAGAGTCACGCTCAACGTCCAAGGACAGCTTGGTCATCTGCCAGATCTGCACCCTCCTCTGCCCTTGATAAGAGCGATCACAATAACAACCCTACCTCTGCACAAACTACCAGTCAGTCAAAATACAAAAGTGCCTTCGGATCGACCAACAGAGATGTCACATTTGGTCCTTCACCAAGATTACTACTAGCTTGTCATGCTTGGGAGAAGCTAATTTCACAGAGGGAGAACCCAACAGCAATTTTATTTTGATTGCAAATGATTGGCAAGCCACCAAACGGGCTCACCCAACGGTGGCACGTCATGGATACCTGGGAACTGGGTCATGCAAAGATGTGTTCCTGGTAAGCGATTACTCATGGCATGTGTTCCTGGACCTCACAACATTTTACAGGGATTGTATCACAACCACCGCATGGCAGTAGTGCAGCTCAAGCCTGTGGCTGACAGTAGCTTCACCTCTGAGTTTGACAACGAGAATGACCTGAAGCATGAACTCAAGCTCCTGGCGCTGAGTTCTTATTTTGCAGCCTTGTTCAAGATACGAGCTGACCAGGTAAGCCAATTTCCTTATTAGATACAGTGTAATAATTAGATGCTCGACAGATATCAACTTCAACTACCGAGATGTGTTCATTGGCAAGGTTAACACAATTGGCCCTAGGCCTGAAGACCTTGATAACGACAACCGTCCCCTGTGCCACAAGACCTTCCTAGTAATGCCATTGCTGGACTTGGACGACAAATTGTGGTGTGAGAGGAAGTTCTCTGGTCACAACATGCCAGGCAACAGCAAAGACTTCCTAGGCCAGTGTATGGACGTATTTGCACACCATGTTGTGCTGGACAGTCTGGGATCGTGCACGCTGATAGACATACCAGGTTTTTATACATATTACCTCATGAGAATGATGTGATGTTCTGACTAGTATTTTAGGGCTGATCTCAGGGGACAACAAGATGATTCTCTGCTTTGATCCACAGGACCACACATCTTGGTCGACAACTGTGCTTGCCAGCTCTGACCTAGGGACAAGGGGCATCCGAGACTTCGAGAAGCTGCACATATGCAATACAGTGTGTAAAGGACTAAAAATGGAGCCTCTAACAAAGAAACGGAGTGCACAAGACATCCTTAATGAGGAAGAGTAGTACCAGCATATGTATTAGGATAACTACTCTAAATTAACAGGTTCAAACCCTCCTGGATTCTATCCTTAACACAACACTTGTAATCCTTGACCTCAGCCTTGGTAAGTTGGTCCAGTGCCCTACCCTCGAGGTCCACCCATTGCATGAGCGACCCACTGGTCCATGCAACAAATGACCCCCGGATGCCTAGACCTATCAGCTGGCTGTTGTAGTGGTGGAAGAGAGCAGAAGGAAAGAAAATGGGGACACCAGGGGCGACCTCAAACTCCATATTGAGCTCCTTTATGATGAGTTGACCTTCCTTTTTGTAGTCTAAGTCCCCAAAGGGGATGACATAGCACATCCCTGTGGCAAAATTCTTGCAGTCCTCGTGCAGCTTGTACTGAATGCCCTCCATGTTGATGCAAAAGGAGCAGAAGGGATAGAAGAGTGGTCGGAGGCAAGGATGCCGCTTCTGGATCTGTTCGTTGACATGAACATATTGGGCATAAAGTCTGGGAAATATCCACGTGAAGATAGCTATGGCAATAGTGCATGAGTGTTGGGCATTTGGAAAGGAAAAAAAGGATGTACCATTAACAATATTGCAAACTGGGGTAAGAATCTCCAGAATGCGGTCTACCATGGCCTGATTGTTGGTATAGCCTACGGACATCTGAGGATTCTGAGGTGAAGCAGTCAAAATTGGAACCCGGCATCCAACAACAGCTTTACCTGAACAGACCCATGGTGCAGCATGTACTCGTACTGCTGGAAGCTTCCTTGGCTTCCCCTGTACCCAGTGGATGTGTACGGGTCAAGAGGACGACGGTGCTTGCGTGCCTCCAGCAGCAACCGGTTGATGGCTGGGGCATAGCGGCCAGTGGCCGCACGATACAAGATACAGCGATCAGCAATGTCTGTGACAGACGTAGCAGCCCTGTGTCAAGAGTTTCAGGATAAGTTGATGAGGATCAGTGGAGGAGGATGTACCCATCGTTCATAGCAACGTATGTATGCTCTCCTCGAGAAGAGCATACTGGCCACTTACTTGTGATGACGTAGGGTGTCGTGAGCCTCGTGTTTGGGTCAAAATTTGATGACAAACACTCTGCATGGCTGTTGATCCAAGCATATAAGTCATTGTGCCAACAGTCTTTGCTGCGACAGTGGTGGTGCGGATTAGGATGACGTCCTCCATTGACTTTGATAGGCCGAGGGGCTCCTGCAGTAATGTGAGGCAACGTCGAATTTGGGTGGTCGGGGTCCTCCTCCTCTGCAAGCATGTATCTGTGAATGTTGTTATCCACAAGAGATGCGGCATCTAGCAAGACGTGGTAGGTATCTTCAGGAAGGCTGGAGTTCAGCACGTCCATCTTGTAGCAAAAGAAAAGGAAAGGGGACCAAACTTTCAGGAAATCCACCGTCCATTTTACCCCTGCAGCCAAAATTGTGCCACGTCGCCTTTATATTGCCAGCAACGCGACACGTCCTGCAACATGTGAACATGACTCTCCTCTAAAGAAAGATGCATGCCCAAATGAGTCCACAACTGGCACGCACGAACGTGGTGCAACCACTGCCACCACCAATCTCCTCCTGCAGCCATCCACGTTCCAACAAACACAGGCATGGCCCACTCCCAAGTCGCCCTCTCCACCGGCCGCACCTGCATTACAACGGACGTGGGCATCGCCCATCCCCAGCTGCCTGCCCGCTCACCGCCGTCTGTGTTCCAGCGAACACGGACCGGCTCACCCCCCAGCCGCCAACCAATGCCACTTGAGCCGCCACCCTCCCCAACTCCATGCATGCAAACATGTGGGCTATCGTCCAGCAGCCCACCCCTCCTTGAACATGACAAGCGGGCATCTGCCCAACAGCCCGTCCAGCGCCCCCAATGGTCATGAATCCTGCCCACCCCCGACCTGCTGCACGCAAACACAAATGCGGTGCACTCACCCATCCCTGACCCCCTGCACGCGAACACGAATACAGTGCACTCGCCCATCCCCGACCCGCCACATGCAAACACCAATGCGGTGCACTCACCCATCCTCGCTAGCCCATCCGATTGCACAGATCACAATGATTGCCCTATCAATCCACTGTCCTGAATATGTGTGCTTACCCTGCAGGCCTGAGCACCTAGTGAGAGTTCTCAATGGAGCTTGAACAGCCCACATCCGGCTTCTATTATGTAGATACATAGTTGATAGCTTTGTTCTAGAGTGGCATGCGAGTAATTATATGTTGCAGGAAGTGTGAGCCCTCAGCTGATGGTCTCTTATGGAAGGATGAGAGATCAAAGGGACAGAGGAATCACACGCTCCTCTTCCAGCTCAAGTCGTTGCAATTGCACCATCATGGAAGGCTCAGATTGTGCACAGCTGGATGGATTATTGGATGAGGAAGTCAATGAAAAGAATCTGCACAATTGCAATCCGGAAGGCAAGAATCAGTACAATGAATGCTGTGAGGAATATCATAGACACCATACTGGTGTCCTGCTGATTGTTACCAGCACGCGGCAGCGATGAGAAGGTCAACACTTTGTTGATCAAGTATAATAAGCTTGGGATTACCAACAAAGACAAGATCAAGACACTGCTCAAGACTGAAGGCATCATAATGAGGTATGCTTGTCCATTGGTTCTCTGCCATCCCTTCCTAACGTACACTTAGTGCCACAACTGTGAAGTGTCATCGCAAGGAACTGGGACTGAAGGCTGCTTCAACACAGACGAAAGCCATCCCTGAGTCCAAACACCAGCAGCTTATCATGGATGAGCTCACTGGTGATCATACTCAGTGTCAAGGCCCAGGAACTGTCAAGGAGGCCATACAGTGATCCACCGTTCCCTTGGACAGGAAAAATTGTACTGTACATTGCTCCTCCCATGGGCTCTCATTCTTCTTTAAATTAGCATCATTAGTTAGCTGTACATCCTGCCCATCTACCTAAATATTTTGTAGTAGGTATCCTAAAAAAATTCTGAGAGCCATAATATGGGTGACCCCCTCACAGCCACTTTACTGTTCCTCTGGACAGTGGTTTTCCCGCGCCCTTTGTGACTTTGCCATATTGCCGGTGTGAGCGCAGGAAACCTTTTGGAGGTTAACTGACAGTCACATGGCTGCCTTAGCTGCTGCTCCGCCAAAGCATGCAGAAACCTGGAGCGATATTGGGCCCATTGATACATGTACCCTCATGAGCTCAGTTGCAGATAGTGCTTTCAGCACTGTAGAGTCTGAATATGTACACTGATTTGTGGTACAGCAGCTCACAAACACCTCAAAGCCCACATAAAGATTGAATAGCACAGCCACCATGGTATTTCCGATTTTTCATTCGAGTAAAACACTACATATTGTCCATCGGGCTACAAGAGATGGTGAGGATCCATTGGATGTATATATATATAAATAATCAAGAGGAAAGAGTCAGGCGATGTGGAGAAATTAGCCCGTGTCCAAGGGAGTAGTGCTGTCCAGAGGAGCGGTGGATCACTGTACTACACACTCATGGGGTCAAGCTTACCAGGTTTGGATCTCATTCAGCATCATATCCTTGTCTCACAGGGTTGCAGGGCGGCTGTTCATAAGGAAATGATGCTTCCGTAACCCGAAGGCTTTAACATTCGTGAGCCAACCATGAGGAAGAAACACCATGTTGCACTCCAGCACCTTGACCCTCACCATGAATGGAGTGGTGATGGGCATGACAAACTGGCACGGATCAGTTTTCCTATCTGGGGTATCCGTGACTGCTGGTCAGGGAAGTGGTTAGGGCTCTGGGTTGTGCCAAATAACCGTTTTAAGTCACTCATCACCTACCTTTACCTTTGGCTGGTGCATGAGTTGGGTGGTATGCAAAAATATTACTTAGGTTTTCTCTTGGATATTGATTCTGGGCATAGGAATGCCAATTCAGACCACTACAGATTGTAGCTCTGAAACTACGGAAATGTATGGATTTGCGCTAGCACTGCGGTAAGTCCAGATGTGTCCCCTGCTCTGATCACATGTCGATAAATGTCAATTAGTGAATCGTTCTTGCCTTACCTTCCCTTGGACAAACTTCCAGCCCACCAATTCCTTTGAAGCACAGACAATACTACCATTGAGCATGGTTGGCTTAGGCTAAGGCTCCAATGGGGTGACAATGTCAAGGAGGTCTGGGAGAAAGGGCGGCTAATTTATGATGAAACGAATGTGAATCAATTGTAAGATGAATTCTCTATGCAAAGTTTGGAATTAATGGCTTCTCAGTAAACTAGTTCAGTGGCTTTGGCCCAAGCTGATTCAGCAGGAATTGGAAGATTTGAAGGAGAAGTTCAACAATCATCCCGTCCGCAAGGATCACAACAAGCTCAATCCATCTGGAGACATGCCGGAAATGATCATGCAGTTAGCGGTCAAAGAATACAGCACTACTAATTGCCTGCAGCCCATTGATCATGCCATTGTTGAGAATTTAATGGCAGACCTTGAGGTGGAGAAGCTGTTAGAGTTTGTTGATCCAGCATTTGCTATTCGTGCTGAGGAAGCCTACAACTCCTTGAATATTACACGGCTGGACTTTTACAACGTCTGGCACATTTTTCAGGCTATACTACCCATTATGTTTCCCACGTAACACACATGCATATACATAGTTCATAATTACGACTCCCCCAAAGGAGGGAGTTGGTTTTTGTGCATGGGCCTCATCACAGTGACAGGGATGTGACCCCAGCCAAAATGTTACAAAAGCATGATAAAGCATGATTATCTGCTCATATTGGATGACTGAGCACTAGTTTTAAATGGGATGCAGCTGCATGACAAGGTAGGTGTGAGATCGCTTACATCATGTGATAATATCAGTTCTGAATATTATCCATCGGTTTGCCGAGTTGCCATAGTAAGTGCTGCTGTGATGACAATCAGTTACATAATTGTATGGTCCATTGCACTTTGGTTTCTCTGCATAACAACAGTTGCCACATTTCGGAGTCCCGTCTATGGTTCTTGCTGGAATCAAATAGGCATTTGATTCCCATATGTCTGAAACAGGTTGTGGCTGTGTCATCACCTATTTCAACAAGGGGTTAGGTGCTAAAGAGGGGGTCCGATGAGCATTCCATAAATCTCTCATAGATATGTTATGAATAATCGGGGTTTGAACCTCAGAGCATGTATTCACCGGTCCGGAGCTCTGAGGCTGTGTCACAACACAACTTTTGACCTGACCCTGTTGAGCAACCGTAAGCAACCAGACACCTGCGCCAGCTTGGCGTCAGTGAGGTAGTAGCTTGCCATTTGTATCTTGAACCATGTATCCTCCGCTGACCAAGTGCCTGACAGCATGCATGTGGCTGAAGGCTTCAGCGATATCCCAGCTGGGTGCTTGTCAATTTGAGTGTACACTTTGCAGGTGAATCACAGCATTGAAGGACTTGAAGGACTCCGTGGCATAAAGGAGCGCGGGTCCAAATCATCGTATGTGTGATGATAAGTGGACAAACAGATAGAATTTTGGCTTGTTGAACTGCTGCATGTTCCACAGAGCTGTCGTGATCAAGAAATCAAAGATGGCCATCTCAAGCTGGGACTGAAGTCGTGCATAGTGGTAAGATTATTCATCCTGGTGAACCATTGAACTCACCATGAACTCAGGCAGATTCATGATTTCTGGCTGATAGAGCAACGGCGCCAGACATGTTAATGCAAGCCACACCCCGTAGCACTCATCTGGTATTCCTTCAAGGCCTTGCAGAACCTGCGGCGCTATCTGGAGCACTATACAGAAGTCTCAACCCACCAACGACCCTGCGTACTGCACGAACGTGGTGCCGAGCGGGCCTTTGATACCCAGCCCAGTCGTATCAATACTATTGATATGCGCATGGAGTATGTCCTTCTCCTTGGAGGAAAGGTGTGATACGGCATCACGCCACCAGTATTTCACAACCCACAAGAGTACAACATGTAGAATTTCGACTGGTGAGTCTTGCTGAGGATCGAAGTCTGACGAACCATTAACACATTTATCTGATGTTTTAGCTCCAGCAGATACACTCACTCTCAACCATCAAGACTGGGTTGAGAATATTCTTTGGCATTTGCTCGTGCAGGCTGGCTAACACGAGCCGTATTTCATCTTGCTTGCTTATCCCTGACAATCCCGGACAAGTGGCTTGTTTGTCTTCAATTTTCTTGCATTCTACTAATAGCTTCTCCACAAAATGTTGCAGGTACTTATCTTTCGTGCCGGTCTCAGTTAACATCTTGTCAATAGTGCTTGGTGCTCTGTCCAAGACTCGCTCCAGCTGCTTCTCAAGTTGTGCAAGGGTTTTGGACTTGTGCGTGGTACACCCTCCTGTAGGAAACACATCAGAGAGTCCTGAGCTTCAGAGTGAGAGCATGAGTCTGACGGTAACAAAATCTGATATGTGTTCTCTTTCTCCAGCATTGCCAGGTGGTCTACCGGGAATTCCGGCTTTTCCAACATAGTCAAATCCTGCAGAAGTACTTACCAGTCATCCCAACATGCAAACAAAATTCACTCAACATTGAGTTATCTCCCTGGAAGGCGAGCACCCAAGGGACTGGATCCCGCAATTCCACGATGAAAAGCGAGAAGGCACTGAGCGGTCTTTCGAGTTGTGTGGTTCCATTCACGACAAACTCGCGTGTATCTGTGTGTATTCTCATGGGATTCACCATTGCCCACAGAACTCCATTGCGCATGAACCACCAACAAATCATCACGACCGCCAGTATGCCGAATTCGTCAACATTGGCGAGTGCTGGCTCCTCAACGAAGAAGTCACATCCAACATCATTCCTCGCGATTGGCTCACTACAAATCGGATTGACCTTATGCTGCCACCAATCACTTTGTCTGGATTTGCCATGCTGATAACCACTATCCTCCGGATACCTTGACAAATTGGGTGCAACCAATAGATTCACCAATTTCTATAACATGTGGTCAGTACCAAACAAAAGTCAATTGGCCAACTAAATCACATCTCTGATAATGTTTTCAAGGTCATGAACACCGTACACATGTTTGTGACCGCCATCGCACATCTTGACGTCAACACCGCTACAATTTAGGACACGCTGACAATATCTCTTGACCTGGTGAATGGTGGGAAGCACTCCTGTGCTGTTCTTCATTGCAAACCACCTCACCACGTCCATTTCCTTCTCAGAAACATGCAATCATGGAAAAGCCGACATGATGTCCATGGTGCACGTCTGATGATGCCGTAGGTGAGATATTCAACGGAGAACAGCAGCATACGCTCGGCTCACTGCTTTATCAGGATAAGGCCACCATTGCTCGAATTCGGACTCTTCAACAACAGAGAATTCCTCATCTATGTCATCTGCAAATAAAGATGACAATCTCGTGCACACTGGATTTACACAACATTACTTATCACTGACTGATGTATGTCATTCCATTGGCTTTCGTCTTCTGAATTCGACAGCAACGAGTCATCCGAGCTGCTCCCTGGCTCCAAGTCCATATCGCACACATCGTAGGTGGCATGAAAAGTAGGCAACATTGTTTTTGTACGTGACAAGATGCCAGCCCAATTGTCATACATCTGATCAGTTGGATTGTCCTCAAGTGCAGGCCCATTAACCGGTGTGAGGTTGTGAATACCAGGAGGAGGGATGTTGAACGCCACCTCAGGCTCTTCATGTGTGACAGCATCAGGTTGGGTGGGAGACGTTGTGACATATTGGACATATGGCATGACAGGTTCGTGAAGTATTTCTTGATCTGGGTATGAAAGGCTCTGACCGTCCTCACTGCAATGTTGCTCGTCCTCCTGAAGTACACCGATGTCCGTATCACAACAATAAACAGGACTGCTAAAATGTTGCCCTGTGTTGCGGGTACGGAAAGGGCTGCCTGATTGCAGATCTGGGTTATCGTGAGCACGAACTTGACAGGTATGTCCATTTGTGTCTTCGTGTTGAATGGCTTTTGACAACGATAACCAGGAACTTCTGGGACAAACCAAGCACTGAAAACTAGAAGACCGATGGCCTTGGTTCTGGAAGACTAGATAATAGGAGTGAGCCGCGAAGGTTGACCATCCGTTGATGATACTAACATTCTGGGTGTTCAAGGGGCATCGTATTGCCAGGCTGCAAGAGCAAGAGTCTATAGCCCCTATCAAGTGGGTGGACCAGATGAAGACGATGCGAACGAGGCCAGCCGGTCAGCCCCCTTTTTAACCTTTAGCACCTGCCGCATGGACCGTGCTCCACGTCCTTCCCAAGTGTCCGCGCAACTACGGAATTGCAAATACGTCTACATACATCTGAAAGACAGCTGCTGCTAAACATTATTCCTGTGCTGGAGGCAAAATTGGCAGCTCTCTCTGCAACCTTACAATCTGTAAAGGATTTGATGCCAATGTTGAGGACGCCTCCTGTCACTGACAGGAGGCTGGGTTCAATTAGCAGTCCAATAGTCCTTTCGTCAGAATGAAGATGTATTCATTAACACAATGCTGAACGAAATCTGAGATACATAGTGACTGACTACAATAAGTATGTGACTACACTATGCTACTCGGAATGGGTGATATTGAACCACAGAATTGCCCACAGAATGGGGTTTACCACGACGCGCTTGTGCAACACGAGGAGTGTGCACGTTGCAGCACTTTCAGGGGATGCTGATAGCATGGGGCATTGTCCAGCACATGCCCCAGGGGAATCTTTGACAATGGGCCTGGGGCACGTCTTCAAGCATCTGCCCTGTGGCTTCGAGAGTGGCTGCAGTGCATCTTTGAGTAGGCTGATTGGAAAGCAAGAAGGGAGGGCTTGGAAGGTGGGTTGTATGATGTGTACGGGGGGTGGTGGCAGCTCACAGACGGCAAGGGCGGGGGATGGAATCTGTGCTGAGTGTGAGCGCGTTGGCAGCTCATGCTTGGCGTTGGGCAAAAGAGGGCACAGGGGTGGAAGAAGGGCAGGGTATGGAAGCTGTGTCAAGTGCAACCACGTTGGCGGCTCGCGCTCGGCATTGGGCAAAAGAAAGCTGCACCAAGCGTGACCGCGTTGGTGGCTCGCAGACGGCATGGACGGGGGATGGAAGCTGCACCCATCGCAACTGCATTGGCAGCTCAGGCTCGGTGTTGGGAGAAAGAGGACACGGGGGTGGAAGAAGGGCGGGAGATGGGAGCTGCGCCGAGCGCGATGGTGGCTTGCGTTTGGTGCTGGGCAAAAGAGGGCACGGGGCGGAAGCCACACTGATTACAACCGCATTGGTGGCTTGCAGACGGCAAGGGCAGGGGATGGAAGCTGGAAGCTGCGCCAAGCACGACTGCATTGGCAGCTTGTGCTCAACATTGGGCGAATAGCGGGCACGGGGGTAGAAGCAGCACCACACGAGTCTGTGGGTGACGAGCATGCGGGGTTGGGTGGATGACAAGAATGGGGCAAGGTGGATTGTGTGCCCAGTAATGCCACAATTGAGTGCATGCCCCATGTCATCAAGAGTGGGCCCGGGGCGCAACTTTGAGCACCTACTCTGTGTCTTCAAGAGCACACCCTGGGTGTCTTTGCGTGGGCTGGAACGTTCGAGTGCATATACACTTCTTGACGGGCGCATTCTCGATGGTGTTTGTCGGCGTATTTGTGCACACTGACAGGTGTGGTTCTGTCAGAGTACGCGCTGGAGCTCCTAGGAGCGGCGCGGATCCCCCGGGACGGCGGTGGAGACGCTGTCGCACAAGGCAGGGAGGCAACTGAGTATATATACGAAGATATGAGGAGAAGTACACATACCTGTCGCACAAGGCAGGGAGGCAACTGAGAGAACAAGTCTGGGTTGCTCCCTGGTGCGACAGGCGATTATATAGTAGATGAGTAATCCATCAACGCAACGAAAGATGGTCCAATGAGAGAAGGGGAGGGTCCTCGGGCGCCCGACACGTGACCGGTGGACCGGCCTAGGAAGGCCGCGCGAGTGCGGAGGCCCTAGGAGCGCCGAGCGACGGAACGAAATAGGGGAGATGCCCAAAGGAGGGCGCGGGAAGCCTAGGAGGGCGCGGGAGAGCGCGACTGAATAGGGAGACGGAAGTATTAGGGGAAATGAACGAAATGGGACAGAAGCGGAAGCAGAAAAAGAGAACAATGAGACATGAGGCGAGTGTGGGAGCCGTGCCCTGACA